ACACACACAAACAGAGAAAGAAGGAAGGCCGGGGCACTGCCGTCCCGCTAAGAAGGAAAAGCAGCAACGGCAGAAGACGGTTTGGTGTACGCTCTTCCGCATGCGCCTTCCGGATAGAGCAGAAAGGCAAACCGCACACCGCAGCGGGTCCCGAGAGCCCCTTTTTTCCCTCCCGCCACACACACGCACGCACAGAAACTAAGTGGACGAGCAGTAACCCACGCACCGCCCCTCCGCGCCCCACTTCGCAGCGCCCAAGTCGTTTGCTCCCCGACCCCGCGAAGTCCCTCCCACGGCAGGACTGTCGTCCAGCGGCCACGCAGCCCCACGCGTGCACGGGCGCCCCGTCACTCCCACGCCACCGCTGCGGAGACGAAAAAAAAAGTCACCGTCGTCGCGGACCACCGATGCCTCTAGCGGGAAGAAGGAGGAGGAATGGGGATGGGGGGCATGTCGGCGGCACAGCCAGCAACGGGGGGAAACAAGACACAGAAACACACAGCGACGGCGGCGGACACGACGCACAAACTCAAAGTGAGCCGCAGTGAGTTGCCCCAAGCAAAAAATTAATGCCAGAACAGGGCGGTGGAAGTCCAGCAGGGCTCAAGGGAAACCAGAAACAAACAAGAAATTACTTCGGCAGGTGTTTATTTCCTTCACTTCACGTGTCCAGAAGCCCAAGAGGAACGCGTGTGTATGTGTTTATTTTATTGCCTGCACGAACAAAGCAAAACGATTTCCACGCAAAATGATTACCCTCACGCACACACACACACACATCACGTTTGCATCTCACGGTGGCCGCGGCCTCGTGCCTCATTTGTGTCAAATTCGTGCGACTGCACAGCAATGCGGCCGGCACCGCGCGTGTGCCTGTGTGGGTGGCAGGAGCAAACAGAAGAGGGAAAAGGATGCGCCGCCCCTGGGAACGTGCATGGAGTGACGAAGCAAGAAAAGAAAAGCCAAAAAAAAAACATCCCTCTGAGCACAGGAGAAAGAGGGATTGCCTCACAGGGAGAGCAAGCAAAATGAGCACACCAAGCGTACGCGTCGTCCCTGCCAGGGTGTGTGCGTGGATGTGTGTGTGGGTGTGCGGTTGCCCCTCAGCATTGCCCAGCAGCAGAGGCAAGGGCAACAGTGAGCAGCAGCAGCAGCAGCAGCATGACGGGGGCACGCACCCACGCAGTGGCGGCGTCGCTGCTGTCCTTCATGCCGGAGTGTGTTCTGTGGGGGGGCCTCGTCTCGGGGGTGTCTGCGCTCGCCGCACCCGAGTTGGTGCCAGCGGCAGCAGTTGCAGTCTGCCCTCCTCCACTGCGTCGGCCTGCGTTCGCGGCGCCGCCGGCAGGGGCGGCCGGGTCGCTGTTGCGTGGCACGTCCCTCCCAGCCACATTCGGGCCGCTCGCCGTCCTTTCACCCAACGACCGCCCGTCGACCGGAGGCCGCGAGGTCGGCGTCACGCGTTCCGCAGGGGCCGCGCCAGGGACCCCGCCGCGGGCACCGCCACCGTCGCCGCCCAAGTGGGAAAAGGCAGGGGCGCTGGAACTCCGCTGCGCAACACGGCCAGAAGGTGCAGGGGTCTGTGCTCCGCTGGGGGGAGGAGGAACAGCAGTTACGGCGTGTGGGCAAGCAGCGGCAGCAGCGGGAGCGGAGGGCAGTCCAGAGGCACAAGTTGCCGGCGGGTCTTTTGGGCCACCCGCAACTCCAGTACCGACGGTGGAAGCTGAGACATTTCGCTCCTTTTGGAATTCAACAATATCACCCCTGTCGCCATGAGGAGGTGTACTGGCATCACTCCCCACTTCATGCGAAGGCGTTGTGCCACCAGCTGCACCTGCAACAAGAGGCCCATTAGCCGTGGGAGGCCGGCCAGGGACACCCGGAGGGCAACGCCCACAAGTGTCCTCAGTTTCACAATCACCACAGTTATTCGTACAGCAGCGAGTGGCGGAAGCACGAAGTTGCGTTTTGTCGGGGCGCTAGGAGTCATTTTGCACCACAGGCGCTGCAGTTGCATGGCCCACGACGGCCCCGTTGGCACCCGGAGCAGAAGAGAAACCCTCGCGATTCAAAGCGTCGGAGAGGGGCTCGCCGCCAAACTGAAAAACAGCCTCCGCACCGGCAGCCCCAATTGCACCGCCGCCTCCTGCCGCAGCCGCCGTTGCGCACACAAACGAGCCGCAGCAGCCGCCGCAGAGCAGCGCGAGGAGCGCCAGGGCGCACACCGCACGGCGCCGCAGCGTCGTCGCCATCAGTAAAAGCAGTGGTCGGGCGGAGTAACAGAGTCGCTGGGCCACGAGGCGGTGGAAAAGGAGAAGGAAAGAAAGAGCAATAAATAGTTGGAGGGAGTGCAGCGGGGAGAGATCGGAAGGCAAGAGCAAAAAAAAAGGCGGGAGACCACACAGCCGCACACGGCAGCGATGCAAGAGTGAGGGAGGGAGGAATTGGTGCTCGAGCCGGCGCTGCAGCCCAAGCAGCGGCAACTCACTGAGCACGCGGTGAAACGAAGAGCGCAAAAATAAATTATTATTATTAGTTCCCTCCACGTATCCCTCAACATGAAAAGAAGAAGAAAAACAAACAAAAACAATTGCGGTGCGAAGAATTCGCCTGCAGGGGAAAAAGGAGACACATTTATCGCATCTCAATTTGTCCCTCCTTACCTCCACGCACCATCGACGGTGCATGCTGCGTTGCTTTACTCCGTCCCCTCGCCGCAGCAGCAGCAGCAGCGCACTGAGTGCCGTTGCGTTTGTATATGTGTGTGTGTGTGTGTCTCTGTGTGTGTGGACAAGAAAAGGAGGCGCACGGCCGTGGGATGTTCCCCGCCCCGTCACGGGAGGAGCGCAGCGGGCAACGGATGGGCGGAGTCGCGAAGCAAAGTGGGGAGGTGGCCCTACAAGAAGTACCCCCGAAGCAAGAAGAAACACAAAAGACAAAAAAAAAGTAAATTGTCCTCCGCGAAGAGGAATTTATTCCCGGCGGTGTGTGTGTGTGGCTGTGCGGGAGACGGCGCACATGCCCCGCAGTGAAGCCGCGCGCCCCTCACAACGCCGCAAAGGCCCACAGCCCCAACAGAAGCAGCAGCGGCACCACTCGGCGCCCACGCACAGCGCCGTCCTCGGCGTTGCGCTTCTGCAGCAGGCCCCCACCGCCCCCGCCGCTGTTGCTGCTGTTGCTGCGGGTCGCAGGGACAGATGCCGCATCCTTTGCCGCCGCGGCGTCTGCAGCGGCACCGCCCCGATCTGCACTCTGGGCCTCCCGCTGCGAGGGTACGTGTCCCGTTGCCAGTGCGTTGCCGGGAGTAGGCGAGGACGCGGCTTGCGGCCCACGCTGCGGCACAGGCGAAGTGGCGTCCACATCGCTCTTGGGAAC